CCCCCCCCCCAAAAAAAGAAAACACTTGTAATATTAACGATGGTAATGGTACCTGGAGAGTAGCATTTACCAAGTACTCTCTTACCATTCTCACCTGAACCTCGCAGCTGACTCCGGCCTGCCTTATCTACCATCCAATTGTATTTGGCTTCCTGGAGGCCACCCTTTGGATTATGCAGGTAATGACTACTTTCACATGAGCTGGCCAGATCAGTTTTTTTCCAGTCATTTGGAGCTGCAGCTGCATACCTGAAGGCAACAGAGGCATGGCCTGTTATGCCATTCACATTCCAAGGTTGCAGCTCTATCTCCATCTTCACATACCTGAAAACCTTTTCCTGCCTGCAACATGGCTTCTGATGGATGTCAGTGGTGGTCCTTGGGATGGCTATCTATCTAGGAATCCCTGTAGATGTTAGTATTCAGCTTATTTGCTCTATCTGCTCATAGTAGACCATCATAAATGAGTATTTCCTCTGCAGAGCATGTTTTATGCATGTCTATAATCCTAGCACTTCACTGGTAAAGGCCTGTAATTCCAGCACTTGGGAGGCTAAGCCAAGAGGATGGAGAGTTTTTCAAGTCTTCTGTATACTGTGACATTTTTGGCATCAGTGTATTTTTCAAAGATAAATGATGAGGGACAGTGGTCATCAGAGAACATGTTTTGGTATTTTGTTTTTTTTGGGTCTGGTTGTGGGGCCTGAACTCTGGGCCTGGGTGCTGTCCCTCAGCTCTTCAGCTCAAGGCTAGCGCTCCACCACTTGAGCCACAGTGCTACTTCCGGCTTTTTTCTTTTTGCTTATGTGGTGCTGAGGAATCGAACCCAGGGCCTTGAGCATGCAAGGCAAGCGCTCTACCACTGAGCTACCTTCCCAGCCCATGTTTTGGTATTTTGATTAAAACTATACCTAAAACTAAAAATGATCTCACCTTGTATTAATTTTTTTAAATGTACATATGTATGTATTTTGAGAGGGTCTCATTTTGTAGTCCAGGCTGGCCTTGAATTCCAGATCTGCCTGCCTGTGCCTCTGCGTGTTAGGATTACAGGTGCTGACTGTGCCCAGCCCCCAACTTCTCTTCAAAGTTATACATTGACTTTTATTTTTTCTAGTGATTATGTGTTCATCTTTTTGGTTGATAAAACAGAGTAGCCTCATTTACTTGTTTCCTAGTATAAAACCCTTCTAAAATTTCTGTTATTTCCTTATTGATTGTGCTGGACCTGTGCCTTGAACTCAGTGCCTAGGCACTGTCCCTGAGCTTCTTTTGCTCAAGTCTAGTATTCTACCACTTGAGCCACAACTCCATTTCTGGATTTTTTATCTCTCTTTTATTTTTTTATTTTTATTTTTTTGTCGGTTGTGGGCCTTGAATTCTGGGCCTGGGCACTGTCCCTTAGTTCTTCAGCTCAAGGCTAGCACTGTACCACTTGAGCCACAGTGCCACTTTCCACTTTTTCTGTTTATGTGGTGCTGAGGAACCAAACCCAGGGCTTCATGCATTCGAGGGAAGCACTCTACCACTGAGCCACCATCCCAACCCTGTTTTTTGTTTTTTGTCAGTCATGGGACTTGAACTCTGGGCCTGAACGCTGTCCTTCAGCTCTTTAGCTTAAGGCTAGTGCTCTACCACTTGAGCCACAGCGCCACTTCAGGTTTTCTGAGTGGTTTATTGGAGATAAGAGTCTCATGGACTTTTCTGCCCTAGCTGGCTTTGAACCACAACCCTCAGTTCTCAGCCTCCTGAGTAGCTAGGATTACAGTCGTGAGCCACTGGTACCTGGCTTATTTCTGGAGTTTTTGATAGGTTAGTGGAGATAAGATTCTTACACTTGAGCTGGGAATGTGGCTTAGTGGTAGAGTGCTTGCCTAGAATGTATGAAGCCCTCCCTGGGTTCAATTCCTCAGTACCACATACACAGAAAAGGCTGGAAGTGGCACTGTGGCTCAAGTGGTAGAGTGCTAGCCTTGAGAAAAAGAAGCTCAAGGACAGTGTCCAAGCCCTGAGTTCATGCCCAGGACTGGCAAAATAATAATAATAAAAAAATAATAAAAGATTCTTACACTTTCCTCCCTGGGCTGGCCTTGAGCCATGATTATTAGATCTCAGCCTTCTGAGTAGTTAGGATTACAGCCACTGGTGGCTGGCCTTTTAAAATTTTAATTAATTAGGCAAGTGACTCTAGGGTCTCACTCATGCTAGGCAAGTGCCCTGCCACTGAGTTATACCTCCAGCTCTGGGTGCCAGTGGCTCACA